TTAGCATATATAGCTAGGGAATGAGCTTCCGAGTCCGGGTGTTGGTTGAATGAGCCGGTTTTGGGGATTTCCGAATAAATCAGACCCAAATCGGATGCATGGTGTAGTTCGGGGTCATTTCTCCTTCCCTGCCTATCGAACCAGCAAGTTGGGTGTAGGGCAACTTTGGTTGCGATTGTCGAGGCGGTGGCCAGTCTTGCAATGTCACACTGTTGGCTTTTTTCAATCTAGAGTGGTTGATTTCTTACTTGCTTGACGTAAATTGAGGCAGTTTCCTGGCACTTGCCCTCATTTTACGGCCGGCCAGGGCTCGGGCTGTCTCGCCGTCCTGCTGGTCTGTTGATTTTGCGAATGGGCGCAGCAAAGGGTAATTATAGATGAAACAAGCACGGCTTCCTGGAGCCTTAGAAATCATGCATGGCAGGCGTGACAAGAAACAGAAGATTGCGTGGTGCAAAGAGCTCACAACAAGCAAGAAAACGTACTCATGCATGCCGCATCTGCCAATGGGTGCGAAGCGTTGTGGCGGTTGCCGTGAGGGCTTTTGCGCTACAATCACTCACTTCCCTAGTTGATGGGCCACAACAGTCCAAACTTGTTATTTACCACTAAAATGGTCGTCCCGAAAAGCTTACAATCAAATCCATGAACTCAGGAAGTGAGATCTTCAAACATGCCATGCAGGCGATGCGAAACACTCACAGTGTCACCAACAGGCAAAATGAGGACAATACCTCTTGAAGGACATCTGAGGGAGCAACATGTCTCCCTCTTCGATAGCTCGAGTTCCCTGCGAGGCTTGTTTTAGCCAGCCCTGAAACCTTTTGCCTACCTGCACTATGCATCACGCATGAGCGCCCCACATAGGCGTTCCACAACTTTCGGTTCGTCTCAAAGTTGGGGCTGTCCGTGTAGACGGCGCACTGCTGCAACCCCTGCGCCCCAAATCGGATCCCGACTCCTAGCCCCCACTGGCCACTGAGGAACCACTAGCTCACAGAAATCACTCTCCTGTAGGTCAAAACTGGAAATGGCGTGGACACCAACTGACAGGGGTCGCTGGTTGAGTTGATCAACTTACTGGCGGTTTCCATTGAAATTCCCCGACTTTTGGAGGTTCCAAAAAGGGACTTCTGGGCTCGGAAACCCTGACTGGTCTGTCTGCTGTTGGCTCACGATTGAGTCCGAAGAAAGCCGCTGGGAGCAACTTTGGTTGGCCCTGACAACCTAAGTGCATCTGAATGACAAGTCCGTAGCATGCCTTCACATCGGCGGTCCATCGGTGCTTACTAAGCATGCAAAACAAAACAAACCACTGCACTACCTTCCATTTGCTTAAGCCCCCTGGAAAAATATGTTCAGTAGTGAACACGATTTCGGGGTGGCCGTGGCTTGGATATCATGCAAAGAGGTGCCGCAGGCATCCAGAATCCACTGGCCGGCATGTCAAAACTAGGGACCCTGCAAATGACTTCCCTTTTCCCTCTAAGGCCCACCGCCACTTCTGACACATGCACGAGGCAAAGCCCCTTGCTACGGAAGATTCCTTGCAAACACAAAAAGAGCTGGAAGCCATCCGAGCAAATGTGTGTGAGTTTCCGTCCCAAGTTCAGCAAAATAACTTACATGGCAATGTAGGAACCTGAGCCTTCAAGCGCTCGCCCAGGTAGCGAGACTTCTCTAAAAACAAGCAGTTGCCTGCTGGTAAACATGGACCAAAGCGCAAACCTATTCATGTTGAACAGGTGCTATTTGGGTGTCCAGTGCCAAGGTCCGGGCACAAGGGTCAAACCCCCCCGAACAACCTACAGTTCACCAATGGCCACTCTTTGAGGTCCAGAGCCGGTGGAAGGTTGAGGGACAAAGGTGCCAGTCCTGAGCATGCTGGTGCCAAAAGCCTAACAACCGAGCGTTATCCTAAGCCCAGACTTCGCCTTCAAAAGCCCAGACGCTACTTCTGACACATACCTGCATGAGGCATATTAAGCGCCCCTTGCCGCAAATCCGATTCCAATCACAACCATGCTCAAAGAGTTCGCCTTCAAAAGCTCCAGAACCATCGGGCTCTGCTTCTCCGCCGACTTGGCCACCAGCATCGCCTCCGCCTCTTCCAAGCCTGGCTTGAGAGAGGCATGCGCGACGCATTTGTGTGCAACAGCTGCAGGTATACAGGTACTGGGCTGCCCGCTTTCTGATCCCCCACTACAAGTGTAACTTTTGGTGGGTTAAATGGAAACTAGCACTAAACACTTAAAAGCTAGAAGGCTAAGGGGATGGCTGGGAGCCACCAAGGGTACACACGGCTGCCACAACTTCTGCTCCCCTGCTAAAAGTTTAACTGTTAGTGGTCTAATGGGAAACCCATTAGTTGGCAAAATGTTAAAGTCGCAACATCCAAGCAAAATGCACCAAAGTGCAGGTATGCAGGTACACACCGCTGTCACAACTATACATATGCCATGCATGTATGGGCAAACTATGCCTAAATGCGTGGTGTCAATCATGAACGCTCGTGAATATGGCTCAAAGCTGGAAATATGGGATACCTACATGAAGGCATTTGATCAGGAGGCGTTATTGCCGCTACAATCATTCCAATGCACCCAAACCCTATGGAAAAGTGAGGGGCGCTGTCTGTTTGCAAGCTCCCAGCATTGCAGCCCCGAATGTGGCCCTTGCCAAGGCCAGCTCACCCTCCCAAACCTTGCCGATCGGGACAAATCAAAGGACTTGATCTCTGGAAAGGGATTTCGTAAAGAAGAACTTAGGTGGGTGAGCTCCTCCTAGTGGCTAGTGGTGAGCTCCTAGTGGTGAGCATCCCGATCCTCACAGCTCATGGCTTCCTTCTCGGGAAAAGGGGCGCCGAGCCGATTCGCCGTTTTCTGTGATTGACCGGGACAATCACTTCCTGATTTCTCACTTGGCCCAAAGAAAGCCCAAACTTTGTGACAGAGTTTTTGAGTGGAGGCGCCACTTTTTCTGAACCCGCTCAAAAAATCGCCCATCGCCGCCTGCGCCATCCGCTGGCAGGGAAGCGGGCAGCTCCGGCAGCTCCACAGCATCCCGCGCCTGGAGAAACCGACTGAGAACTTCCAAACTTGGTTGCTGGCGAGACCCCCCTGCAAAAAGTTCAACTTTTTTGGGGCTTAGTGGAAAACCCCAGAAGATTTCTCAAAACGTTAAAGTCTAAAGATCCAACCCAATAGCAGTCAAGCAAAAAGCTCTCTCTTCCGATCGAGCGGCTTGGGCCAAGAAGAGGTGTCCGAACTTTTGGCCACTAAAATTCGAGGAGTTCATTCCCCATTCTTTTCAACGATTGTTCTTTTCGGAAACCAGCTGTTTCCCCCTGAATGTCTGATGGTTTTCTGGAAAGAAGGAGCCCTGGAAAGAATGGGGGAAGTGTCCCCTGGAAAAATGGCTTCCCGAAAAGTGACTTTTTGCCTTTAGAATGGCTTCCCGAAAAGTGACCAAAGTCCAGGAACTCAGGAAGTGAGAAAGTGACGTGGCCCACTGGGGGAATTCCCCTCTATCCACCATTCCTGTCAGCTTCTATGATTGGAGGTAGGGTACTCCAAACAAATACAGCCGAAGATGGCCATGAACAACGAAAAATTGCAAAGAACCAAATAGATTCTCACTTGATCTCTGCCTACCATCTCCTCACATGTCCCAAAAAAGAACTGGCAGCTCCTTAGCTCCCTTTTTTGCAGATTTGGAGACCCCCAGCTCCAAAAAACGACGCCCTTCCAACGCCAGCAAGCTGCAATATGTTTTGTGTGGCGAATCTTTCCGAAAGTCCCCCGCATTCTCAGGATCCTGTCCCAATCGCAGTCCCTGCCAGGGCATCTTGCGTGGCCTCTACAGCCCCCGTTGCAAGCAACAAGTGTCTAGCTCCTGCACCACCCCCCACAGCTCACAGGCTCAAGGGCAAATCCATACGCCCCAAAACAACACCCCGCGAGGGGGATCGGCAAATGACCTTCATATAACCACCTATTCCCAGTGTTAGTTTGGGTCCGCAGGGGCGTGGTTTTGGGGTTTGAAGAGTCCCTAAACGCAGGAGTGCCACGATCCCCACATCCAAGGCCTTCAGCATGGCCAGCAACCGCTGGGCATACATGGCATCACTCTCATCCGCCAGCTGCGCGTAGCCGTCCATGGCGAAAAAGTGCTTTGAAGGGCGAAGGCGGCGAAGTGTGCGGGGCGCGTGGCACCGTGCAACGTGCAAAGCGGCTTCTTTGGACCTTTGCGTGAGGAAAAGGGCTTGAGTGCGGACATTTGGAACAAACTGGGAAGGCTGGGCACGGGCAACAGCAGGTCTCGGGCAAGTGTGTCCATATGAAATAAAGCAAATTCTATGACACAAGGTGAAAAGTGGAACATGCAGAACAGCGGGCACATTGATGTTGCACTTTGGAGAGAACCGTGCAAAATGAATGTCCGCCGCATCGAGCTGTACCGGCTGATTTTTGAGGGTTCTAGATCAAATGATTTGGAGGGCTCAGCACCAAACCCGTGGCCATCTTGAGAGAAACAGCTGCAAGTCAGCAAGTCTTGCGACACCCTTTCTCAGGCAGTCGAGCCTTCCCACCCATCAAGTTCTGCGTGAAATGAGGCTGACATGCCTTTCATCTTGGCCTCCTTCGAAGAACATACACATGTCGCCTCGACACCGGAAAACATGTCAAAGGCCGAAGAGAACCCGGTCGATCTTACAGGTAAACAAGGGTGTCCCACTGTCCCACCCTTTACAGCCAAAGGAAAGTGGCTGGTAGCCTACTATTTCAAGGTTTGATTCCCCATTCTCTCCACCCCTCGTTCTCTTTAGAAACCACCTGTTTTCCAGGGTTTGGCCCATAATTTGAAGAGAAGCATCCCTGAAAAGAATCAGGAGGGTAAACCAGGGCCCTCTATTTTCTGGCAAAACCACCAAAAAAGACACCTATGGTGGCTGGTCGCCTGGGATACCTGGGATCCATGTCACCTGACTCTTTCCCGGCCTTAGCAGTGTCCCGGCTCGCGAGCTCCAAACGGGCCCGGCGGATCTCCTGGCCAAAGCAGAGGGGCGGCATGTTTGAGGGGTTGTGTCTTTCTTAGGGGGCACTCACCAAAAATGTGCTTTTTCTGTTGGCGTCCCTATAAAACGGAAAAAAAAGGAAAAGAAAAACAAGACCACCCACATTTTGGAGGATTTCTTCTTGGCTCCAAAAAGCGGAAGACTTCGTCGTTTCAACCGAAAGCTAGCATATGCCCCTAAAGGGATGGTCAAAGCCACCCAGAAGGTTGAGGTTGGGACTAGACTTAGTCGCGATGAGCGAACGTAATTGGGTCTAGGCTTCACTTGGGCCTGAGCCAGATCACGTATGGACAAATACCGAAATGATGCAATTCTTTGGAGGGATATGGTATAGACTGGTGTAGTGGTTTGCTGCTCTTGGCAAAGTAGCACTTGCGTGCGTGAATCCCACGTAATGCCTCCAACTAAAAACATCCCTGGTTGTGAAAGAAACAACTTCTGCTGGGATGAAATCCCCAACATGCGAAAGACTCAAGTATGGCCGGCAACTCGCTTGTCGGGGCAAGCTCGTTGTCACGCGGCCAACAGCGAAGCACTGGCCATGCAGCAAATCAATGCCCATTCCGGCCCTGCAGAAAGTCAATGGTCACTTCCCTGGCAGACATCTGACAAGACTACGTACGGCGTGCTGTGCGCAACGCGCCGCTAGCGGCTCCTAGCAGCCGTTTGACTGCCTCCGCCCTGGCCATACCAAACCCTGAGAAGAGACTTCTGCTCAAAGCCTGCCGTGCCTCACAGCCCTCGTGTCAGAGCGCGTGGGAAAGCTCAGACCTACCAGACCTTTGGTCAGCTGTCAGCTGCACTCAGCCACGACAGATCTGCACCACGGCGCGCCGTCCGTCGCAAAGTGCGAGGAGCCCACGGCTCCGGAGGCATGCGGCGCTCCAGTGCGCCGGGGCGCCGTCAGTTGTTCTCCTCTGCCCAGCGTGCCACCTCCTGGCGTGGCTGGAGTTGCATGACGCGAGCAAACAGGTCCCACAGCTGTAAGTTTCCAGCTGGCTTCCGCAGCATGTGCTGGTGTCAGGCAAAGCTTCCACAGCTTGAAGCGTACAATTTAACTAATGGCATGACAAGCGCGATCTGAAGTTGAGGGTTTAGCCTTCACAAAGGGGACTACGGCTTGCATCTCTGCAGTCATCTCCCCATTGCTGTCGAACTATTACCCTGGACCTATTTCCTCCACCCCTATGCGCGTTTTGCCCCTAACTTGCCACATGCTTCTGATTGGGACCCTTGGGTGCACGTCCTTTAGGCGGGCACACAGCTCTACCAACCACTTTTTGAGGTGCCAAATCTTCAAATTCCAAGCGCCCTTTGGGGAACCGGTGCCTTCCATCGAGCTCCAACAGCTCCGACAGCTCCCGCACTCCAGCGCTCCCGCCTCAAAGGCCTCGCGGCAGGGCGGCTCCACCAATGGGCAGCCGGCCAGGTGCAGGATGAAGTCCCCCGGCTGCCACGCCTCTGCTCCCCACTGCTGCGCCGAGCCCTCCCCGAAGAGGTTCAGGGCCTTTGCGAAAAAGGAAGGGGTCTGTGACGAAGCTAGGCGACGAAAACACACCTCCCTGACTCCCTGCCCAAAACATCTTCTCAAAAGGGCCTGCGCACCTTGGTCGCGAAAAGTATCTATGTTGACGGGTGAGGAGGTGCGTATGTCCCACTGTGCATGGTTGCAAAATCCCATTTCGCACCACCTAGGAGACCGTGGCAGCCTGGAAAATGATTCGATTCCCCTGCAAACACCAACGGACAACGGCTTCCAGCATGGAAATTCACAGCGGTGCGAATTTCGCCACCATCCGCAGTATGACACGTACAAGCTGCACTGAGCGCCCGACCGCCTGCGGCACCAGCCGCAACTGCGGCGCCCACTGGAAATCCTGCGGCTCGAGCCCTTCCCGCCAGTGAGGACAGGCCGCAGCAGCGAAGAGGTCCGAGTCTAGGGACATCTGGTGCAGCAGCATCGTCCTTGGACGCATGTCTTTTTGCGGATGGCGAGGATAACCCTCGCTTGGTTGTTTTGAAATGCAACCAAACACAAAGCGGAACCACATGATTTTGTTGGGTCAAAAGAACCAACCATTTGGAGGCAGGCAGCAGATATGAAACAAAACACGCATCGAACTAGGAAGCAATCCAAACAGCTGATGGGCCGCGCGCTAGAAATCACACACCCAACCTCTGGCAGGGCATGTGATTTTCGCGCAATACGAATGACACAGAGATGTACAAGGCTAGCCTCCCATGTGTCACTAGCAAGGGTTGTGGAACTGGCCTATACGGACGAGGAAGCGTATGGCTTCAGCGATTTCCAGGGCCAGCCACTGCGCCGATGCCAAGCCTCTGATCCCACACAAAGCGCCAGTCGCTGCCCAGCGCCTGCCGCAAGAAGCGGAGGCCCTGCCGGTGGACCAAAAACACCCCGCTGTTGATGCCGGACACCTCCTGAGCCCATCGGTGAAAACTTCGAGAATGGGAGGGCACCCATTTTGCGGTAGGCTTAAAGGGCGCCATTTTTGGGGGGTCCCAAACGAACAAACAAACAAAAGTAAACAAAAAAAAACAAACACACTGGGAGTTTGTGTGGTTGTTTGCTTGTTTGCGATCCTAGGGCGATACATGTTGGTCCTGCTCCTGTCCAGGGATAGGGAGGGGGGATGGTCGAAGTGACAAAGCTCTCAAATGCCAAAAAAGGTCGCCATGGGTGCGGGTCAAAAACATGTACCCAAAAATATCCAAAGTGGAAGCCTATGTAAACATAAGCAACCAGCGTTTGTTTGCCTCAGGTAGTGTTCTGTTCGCCTCAGGTGGCAGCAAGCCCTTGCAAAAAAAAAAAACGCTCCCTGCAGAACCTTTCGGCAGGAGCGCTTCTGCCCAGTGATCCAAGCAATCCTCCCAAAGGGTTGATATTCCCAACCAGTTTCAACCATTTGTTCGCCCATCCCGAAGCCCATTTTCTCAACTTGATTTCTCAGCACATTGTCAACTTGAAACTTGAGCGGGCAAAGGAAACCTAGCCAGCCCAAAGGACATGTACTATGTTGCAAAGATATTTAAAATAGCAACCGTAAATGCACATCCATAAACGCATTCAGAGCTGAAGCTTCAAGAACTTCCGCTAGCACAACTAGCTTCCGTGACCTCACCCCAAGCGAAAATACACTTCGCGCCACTTAGATCGACGAAAATATCAGGACCCCTAAGAGATACTGTATTCCGAATCGGACCTTTCCTGGTTTTTCGTTGGAAGCCCACCACTGCGCATTGGACGAAACCCATTTCGCACCACCTAAGAAACCCTGCGATTCCCCGGCCTGTAAACACCAACCAAGGTTAGTGGTTTCATCACCCATGTCATCATCATTTCTCATTTGCATCATCATTCTCATCATTTTCATCATCACCCGTGGTTTCATTGTGCGGTAGGCGGATTTCGTCCATCTGGTTTCCCTCCGCTGGTTTCCCTCCGCTGGTTTCCCTCCGCTGCCCTTCGCCTCTGCCACCACGAAGTGGGCCTCGTGCAGGCCGTAGGTCTGCAGCAGCTGGGCCAGCGAGATGGAGCGGTTGGCCACGAGGCTGTCGCAGTCCAGCCACAGCAGCCACTCCGGGGCATCCTGCGCGCGAGCGGATCGCTTCGACGGAGTCGACCTGATGCTGCCCTAAGAGGGAGGGGGGGTGGGGGGTCCCTGTGTATCCTGTCTTCTCCTTGAAAGGGAAATGCTTCCTACCGTAACTGGAGGGGGGTGTTAAGTCCCTACTGTGGATGGTTGCGAAATCGATTTTGCACCACTTTGAAACCACGGAAACCATTGCTTGTGTTGACAAAGGAATTCTGATTCCAGGGTTGCATGGGTGGTGCAGGATTTCATCCATCCACAGTACCATAAGGGGGAGGGGGATGGGGGGTCCCTACTTCCATGTATCCAATCTTCCCAATGGGGAAATGGAAACATGAATAGAATTCCAGGCCCCAATGCCATTGTTGAATGGTTGGAGATTTCGACTCGAGTTGGATCCGCGAGCGGATGCGGACCCCAAGACTTGCTGGTGCGCTGGGTAGGGAAGAACGGGGGTTGGGAATGAACCGGCTTTGCCATTGCGAGAAGCCACAGGGGGATAATTTACAAAAGTCAATCCCCATTTTCTCATTCCCCAAAAGGCGAAAGGGTGAAAGCAGATCGGTCCGTTTGATATGTTGCAGGATTTGGAACTTTTTGTTGAGGTGGTTTTAACGAGCAACCAAAGAGAAAGCAACCACTTTTAGGGGTCCCGCTTTTCTGACATACCCAAATGAATCCCGCTGGGTAAACCCTGGCTTCTCGTCCGCGCTTTCGGTGGGGTAGGTGCTTTAAAGCACTGCAGCTGCCCCATGGATATGGCCCAGGCATAGGGGATCCTTCCAATCGTCCCAAATGATGTGGGGGTTGATCACAAGGTCCGGGGTGACCATTAGGGAAACCACAAAAAAAGATGACAACATCACCACATGGGAAAAGTTAACCATGGTCACTTTGGGGCCGAAGGGAATATTGGTCAAGCCCCATCTGAACATGACTATAAAAAACGGCAGCCATGACAGGAATTGGTGGGGACGCTGACTGGTACTTGCAAGCTGTTCTTTTTGCAAGGCCCTTCCCAGTGCGTGAAGGAACTCAGCTCCAAAACCGTGGCAAGGTGCCAATCAAACAGATACAAGCAAACCCGATACGGAAGAAGCTGCCAACTGTTGCCAACCATATCTGTAGCATTGATTAGTCAATGGGCAGGAATGAAGGGATGAAGGGGATGACTGCATGCTCTCAAGCTAGATTTCTCGAAGCCAACCATTCAACCTTGCCGAGCCTCTCATGCGTTCTGGGAAATGCACACAGGGTATGGATCAGTGTCCCCCGCAGGCACCTGACCCAACCTTGGAATTCTCCCGCTCTGGGAGCAATGCCGTGTGTTGAACCGAAATCTGCCGGTGGACAAAAT